ATAAATTCTACTCCAATTCTTCCGGAATTCATCCAAACTCTCATCAAACATCAAGTATACAAACACTACTTCTCATGGATAAATTTTAATCATCATTCGACATCCATTCCATCAACAATTCTTCATATATAAACACATATATGCATAAAAGAAATTCTCTACACAATATTACTCCAATCATAACTAGAGTTGGATTTACATACCTTAGATATGAGCAATCCAACACTTTAGTAGTCTTCTTTGATCCAACTCTCTTTCTCTTAAATCCTATGAACACAAATCATAAGAATTCAACACTAAAAATTAAAACTCATATCTTAGTGCAAGGATTTTACCTAAGGACGCTTGGGATAGAAATTCCACTAAAAATGAACCAAAATATACGAATGTCCTTGAAAAATGAGTGAAGAAATTTGAGAAAACTTGGGTGGAAGGTGGCGTGAATGAAAGAGAAGAAATAGGTACGGTTTCATTCTTCAACTCTTGATATAACAAAATATTATTTATAATTTCCCATTTTACCCTTGCACTTTCTATGAAATTCCATCTATGTCTCTTAGTCAATTACCATAATGCCCTCATTTTTATGAAGAAATTTGAGAGAACTTGGGTGAAAGGTGGCGTGAATCGAAGAGAAGAAATGGCTAGGATTTCATTCTTCAATTCTTGATATAACAAAATATCATTTATAATTTCCCATTTTACCCTTGCACTTTCTATGTAATTCTATCTATGTCCCTTAGTCAATTACCATAATGCCCTCATTTTTATTCTATTCTCCATGAAATTCTATCTCTTTTCACTCCCCACTTTTTCAAATTATGAGTAAAAAGACCATTTTACCCCTAATGGAATTTTAGGGAATTTTCTTCACACTTGTTCAAAATAACTTTAACAAAATTCAACTAAGGGTATTAGGGTATAAATAAAGCTACGTACCTCGATGTGGGCATTACATGATGGGAATGCAAAATGTCATATTTACCTCCCTTAATGTTTAGTCTTTTATACTTATTTGTTGCCTAAATGTACTCATTATTATTCTATTTTGATTTAGGATGCAAATGGAGGCGTTAATTGCAAAACGGAATTAATTAAGTGAATTCGGACAGTTTTGACATTGTTTCGTAATCTGGGCATAACTCTTTCATCCAAGCTCCGATTGAGATGATTCAAAATTCTATGGAACTCTAAGAAAGAGATCTACAACTTTCATGTTTTGAGTTTTGAGAGATACTCGCTGTATCAAGGTTGTAATCGAGCTTGAAGTTGATGCACCTGCACTGCCAATGTTCTGGAATATTCCGTCTTATCATCAAATAGGCAGATTATTACAGGACGTTTTAAAGACCTATGGCATACAAATTACAGCTGGAAACACCATTTTCCTATTTTGTATTAAGACTTTATTTTATTTTCAATTACTCAGATTAGGATAAAGATTATTTTGGGATTTTAGAATATTTTAGGAGATTTAGATTAAGTAGAATTAGAATTCGAATGGGATATTTTTAAAGGGAGATCAGATTCGGGATAAGGGATAACACACACGCCTCTCTCTTCTCTATGTGGTGGATTTTCGTTTTTCCATTGATTTTTCGTGATGGCCATGAGTGGCTGATTTTTTGGTAACTTGGTCGAAGAAAACAGAGACCTCGGAATCAACCAACTGTGAGATCTAATCTATTTTATTTTAGTGTTCAATCTTCGTGTTTGAGTGCTGAATGTTATTTTGTGCATATCTTCATGATTGATTCATTTAATTACTAGGAGGCCTACTAGTGTATTATTTGTTGCAATCTACTGCTAAGTTTGATATCAAATCTATAATTGTTTGATCCCTTTAACTTGTGAAGCAATTAGGGTTAATAATTTGTTGCGTCAGGAATTAGTAATCTTAAGAAGAACATTCAACTAAATTAAATACAACCGCTTGTGTTTGTATTGTTTAGCTTCATTGATTTCTCTAATTCTTAAGGCTGCCACTAGATTAAATCTTGAGCACTTGTCTAGGGTTGTTTAGTGGAAAGATTAATTAAGATCGCTTGTTTCCTAATTAATTACAATTAAGAAGAGATAGAAAAATAGTTCTAACGGTTAATATTCAAAGTAAGAATTGATTTTTTTTTTTTTTTTTGCATCAATGATAAGTTGTAAGATTCTAATGGGGGTTGTTGACCGAGACCAAGTTCGTTAATTTGATTTAATTCGATTTGAATTATTTTGTTTTCCTGAAAAAGTTTTTGTTTTACTAAAAACCCCCCTTAGCCTTGTTCACACGACAAAAAATTCGACTAGACACTTTCTGTGGGAATGACCCTGACTCACACTACTACATCTGTTTTTAGGTTTTAATTCTGGGTGCCTACAACATCACACCATTACACTAGTATTTTTAACCTATGAATTAAAAACCCATTAAACACAATAATATTTGAAATCAAGAACAAAAGCACATCTATCAAGGTGTATGCACTAACACTAATTATTCAAGAAATCATGAACCAACTAATATTCTGTCAGGGCGTATGTACAAAATACTAATCATTTATTCAATAATCTCAACACAAACAACCTACTAATTCACACTAAGTGTCATCACATAACAATGAAAATTAAAGACAGAATAAATACATGAATGAATCCAAATTTCCATTGAATTAATAACAATAAATATATATTTAAATATAGAGCCTTCCAATTAGGCTACATTGGATCCCTAAATAAGAGTTTAGTTACACATTGACATTAAAGAAAGCAAACCAAAATTCCTCCAAAAGCATGAAAATCCAAACCCTAGAAAGAATCTCCTTCTCTCTCTTGATAAAAAGTAACTCTCAATTTAGGTAAAAAAGAATCCTTAAAATAAATTATAAAGTCCTATTTATACTTTTCCTTTGCTAGGGGTGTTTTTGAAAAGTCCAAGTTCAAGTTGGAGTTGGAAAGGTAAGATTTTTATTTTTCTTGCAATCCACACCGTAGCGTTATTTTCTAACACTGCGGTGCCAAATTCTTACATGGACTTGAACTTCTCTTGCACCGCAGCACCAACTTCTCCACATCGCAGCATGATCGTTCTGCCCAATCTTCCTCTTTTGCGCCGCAGCACAAAAAATTTCTACCGTGGCACCAACCAGTTGATTCACATTTTTCCTCCTCTAAATGATCTGATTTCTCTTCCTTAGCGTGTCCAAGGCCTCAAACCATTGTGCGTGCATACAATCATCACTTTTCCACCTAAAAACTCGAAACTCATGCACACACCCGTGATTCTTGAAAATAAAAGTATATAAAGAAATTCGAATAAAAATAAACCTTAAAGTCAATGAATTTCATCCAATCTACCCTTAGAATCACGGAATATAAATACAGTTTCACCACTCATCACAACCCCCAACCAGCGCTTTGCTAGTCTCTAGCAATCAAAGCGATCGACACTAACCTATTCCTATTATTACAACTTTAAACAAAACCACTTCTATAGGTTGACACAATTGCATTTAGCGTATGCAACAAGCCTTTAAACCCCTAGGTCCCCCTAGTGGACAAGTTATGGTCTCGTGAGGGTTTACAGCGATGCTACCTACAAACATCCTACAAATTCTACCAAGACTCATAACTACTAAACTAACAATTTCGGATCCATACATTAAAGACTCTCAAAAATTTCACACATTAGGCAGCAAAGATAACTAAACGTTACTTTACTTCTAAGAACATCCAGACGTCAATCTCACTTCATTATCAACTCTCTACCTTTCAATAGTCCACAATTTGTCAATTCTAACACCAAGAATAATTATGTATGCAACATCCATAAACTAACATTGATCAATATAAAAATATGAAATAAGAGTAAAACTCTGTAGAGACAAACTCCATAGGCCTAATTTTCGAACCACTCTCCACTAATGTAGAAAATGACATAACCTTAGATCATTAGGACTTCATTAAGCTTGTAATGTTAGGCCAAGTATCTGGTTATGAAAAAATTGGAAAGGGAATCAAACAAAATAAGAAGATTAATCTTACTGATTTGCGATAAACTCGCTCAAGGCACATCATATCCTCTCTACTCTTTCCCACCGCATTTGCATTTACATGCTTTCTATACTTCCTTGACTCTTTCATTTTTTTTTTTCTAAATACATGAATGCAAATTCATTAGGAAGCATAGATATTACAATCATTCCCATTATTACCTTGACACTCACAATACACCACAACCCCCAACCTATTCTTTTGAATAATCTTCAACATCTTGAGAAAACACTTAAAGCCACACACAAACCTCTCACTTTGCATGAATTCGGATTAAATCCTCTTATGAATCACGGGTGAATAATTGTTTAAGGGTTAAAAGGGTATGTTGTTGTGGGCTACATGAAAGAAAATCAAAAATAAAATATTTTAATCTTGGCTCAATAGGGTAACTAATGATAATCACAAAATACATGGGTTGGCTTGAAAGGCTCAAACAGTCCAAAGATGGCCTAAGTCACTTTTTCAGTCATGCATCATCTTGGATTTCAACTCGAGTGGTCCTCAACTAGGTTCTAAAGTTTGGGGATCTCAATTATGCCTTAGGATGTGCACATACCTCCCATTCCTAAATATTAAAACTAATCCACCAAACATACCACATTCATGAGAGTTTTAAATTACAGCAAAACTAACATTCAGAATAATTCCTTGACTAAAGCAAAATTTGCATTATTCTCAACACTTTATGTTGTTGAATTACTTACTATCATAGACAAATATATTGATCCAGAACAACAAACATCCCAAAACTCCTACAAATAAATTGATGCAAGTCCCCACCCCCAAACTAAATCCTACATTGTCCCCAATGTGGCAATCAAAGCAATTACGAGGTTATGAGAAAGAACCAATTACCCATGTTGAATCATCGTAAAACACAAACGCTATGTAGCACCAACTGTCCGTCCTGTATTAGAGTCAACTATCTACCAACAAAAGAAAAAAACATGGTATCCTTGAAGTAGAAACCATATTCGTGTTAAAGATCATGAGTTTGAGAAGAAATAAACAACAAAATAAAAAATACAACCACACATACTTGAGAAGTATCTACACTTAATCAATTAGAAAATTAAAATGAAAATACGGCAAATGTCATCAACAAAATAAAAACATGCACACCACATATGAAAGACAAAAACAAATGAAATAACAACAGCCCACATCCCTCAGATCTTGCACTCTCCTCATCTCACTCCTCATCGGGCATATAATCTGGCACATCAGGCTCAAAACCCTCGGGATACATCAGAAACTGAAACTGAGGTTGAGTATTGTCGACCCCAGCCTGAGTAAGGTGGAAGTGCTGAATCCGCTGCATAGTTTGCCAACACTCTGTCTAATAAGTCACCTGATTGGTGGCCTAACTTTGCCATGCCCGCATCCGGGACAACTTATCACTCACTCGGGTCAGTTGATCTTTCATACTCTACAATGGATTTGACACGAATGGGGGCGGAGAAGTGGATGGACATGAAGTGCTCTTAATAGGCCTTAGTCGGAGATTCTAAACTACTCCCGCATTTCGACCATGCAACTTCAGATAAAAGGCATAATTCAATGGGGATCATAGCTTTCTTTGGACTTCATCGGCCCTTGTTGGCACTCCAGCTTGCTTGCATAAGGTAGTGATCAAGTTAGGGAACAAGTAAGACATTGATGGATTCCTTGCTACATGCAGAATCCGATAATAAATAAGATTGCCCACATCTACCTGCATCCACTTAGCAATACCATAAAGCAATAGTGCCCTATCTGTGTCTACTGTGCTATGATGAATAGTGGGGAAAATCGAGGTGCACACAAACTACTGCCACAATCGATGCAGGGGTGTCAAGAATTTTGCTAGAATGCCTTTGTAATTTTCCTTAGACATTTTCCATTCACCTTGACCGACAGTTAAAGTCTGTAAAACCAATCCATAATCCTTGACCGACAGTTAAAGTCTGTAAAACCAATCCATAATCTGGGTCCTTGAAGAATGTATTTAGTTCATCCTCTGCCACTAGAATATTGGGGAGGCCATAAAATCGAGTAATTGTTGTTGTATCAAAACTAACCTCCACTCCTCTAATCCTAATCTTCCTGTTGTTGCTTTCATATGCGTTAGCGTAGAATTCCATTACCAAAGGTTCAATGGCAAGCTAGGGGTGAGAACATAATTTCTCCCGTTTCATCTCTCTGATCACATTAGTAACCCCTAGCTCCTCATTCTCAAAATCAAACCCTTTTTCGTCTACAAACCCATGACTGTCAGTCACAGTCTCAATATACCTCTTCTCTGCTGCCGGATTTACAAAGCTCACATAACTTGGTCGTGCGGCTGCTTTCTTTTTTCCCTTAGCAGCAGCCTCGATGTCTCTAGGTCTCTTGGTGGGTGCCATATTACAACACAAGAAGAGTTGTTGTAAACAACACTTTACCCCAATTCAACCTTATGCACACTTTCACTACACAACCACAAGACTAACACTACAACCAATATCGGCTACAACACACAATACAACACTAAATAATCCAACAAAGACACCCTAATTTTCCTTCAACACTACACACACACTCCCACCGTGCACTCTACTTGACAATGTCAATCAAATCCGATCTCAAAACAACCTCAACACTCACCCAACATTACTCATAATCTCAATCACCCAAACATAATGCCATCAAACACAATCACAACACAAAATCAATATACTGTACTATTCACACAAAATTTCAATTCCTAATGCACTCCAATTCAATTTTTTCGGTAATATGTGCAAACAACAAACACTGCAACTTTGGATGAAAAAGCCTTACCTACTTAGTATTAATGGATTGCAAGGCTTTGATTGAAGATTAAACTCCCAATTACAAAATTCCCCAAATCGCCAAACCCTAACCTCTTCTTCTTCAATTCGAACAAATCCTGCAAAATAAAATAAAGATAAGAGCTTGGGTGATATGGGAAGGGATTAGATGTGGTGAATGGAGTGGATTCTAGAGTAAAAAGTGAAAAAAAAAAAAAATTGATTGGAGAGGAGAGTGTAGAATGGTGCTACGACGCGAAAACGTGGGTGAGGAGAAAAGAAAAATCTGGGTTTTTTTCTTTTTCATATAACCTGATTCGCGCCGTGGCATGAATTTGTGGTGCCACGGCACTGGTGTTATGGAGGGGGATCGTGCCACGGCGCATAAAATTGTCACGCCGCGGCATTAAGTTTCTGTCTTGGAGGGCATTTTTGTGCCGCAGCATGGAAATATTGTGTCGCAGAGTCAATTAGTTGCCATGCCCCAGCATAAAGTTTCTGCTGTGTGGTCACTTTTTGTGTCGTGGCATGAAAAATCCGTGCCAAAGCATAAAACAGCTATTTCTGAAAAATAGAAAAAGAAAAAGATAGTAAAAATAATACACATAAACAAGAATAACATAAAAGTAAAAGAAATAAATAAATAAAACTTGGGTTGCCTTCCAATAAACGCTTTATTTAACGTCTACGCAAGACAGAGTGCATGGTCTTTTACTTCATGCCGTCGCGGCATTCCACCACTTGTTCCAAAAGGAAATCTTCCAAATATGGTTTCAAGTGATGCCCATTAACCTTTAAATTACTCCCTATCTTTAGATTTTGAACTTCTACTGCACTATAAGGAAACACCTCGAGCACTTAATATGGTCTCGTCCATCGTGACTTTAGCTTTCCTAGAAAAAGTTGCAAACGTGAGTCATAAAGCAAAACTTTCATACCTAGACAAAATTCCTTGCGCTGTATTGCTTTATCATGATAGAGCTTCGTTCGTTCTTTGTAAATCTTTGCATTTTCATACGCTTCATTCCTAAGCTCTTCCAACTCATTTACTTGCATTTTCCTTACCTCTCCGGCTTTGTCCATGTCAAAATTTAACCGTTTGATCGTCCAATAAGCTCGGTGCTCTAATTCCATTAGTAAGTGGCTTGCCTTTCCAAAAACTAGCCTATATGGGCTCATCCCTATTGGAGTTTTCTATGCAGTTCTGTAGGCCCATAGAGTATCATTCAATTTTAACGCCCAATCCGTCCTAGATGTGTTCACTGTCCTTTCCAAAATCACTTTGATTTGCCTATTACTCACCTCTACCTACCTTAAAGTCTAAAGATGATATACGGTGGCCACCTTATGAGTTACATTGTACTTCTTCAACGAATCTGCAAAAGACTTATTACAAAAATGACTCCCTCGTCACTAATAATAGTTCTAGGGGTACCATACCTTGTGAAAATCAAGTCTTTAAGGAAACTAAGAACAACTTTACCATCGTTAGTTTTTGTGACGATTGCCTCAATCCATTTAGACACATAATCTATAGCAACAAGTATGTACGCATAACCATAAGAGTTAGGAAATGGACCCATGAAATCTATACCCCAAATGTCGAATAATTCCACCACCATGAATGACATGAGTGGCATCTCACTCCACTTGCCAATGTTTCTAATTCATTGGCATTATCGCATCTAGCACAAAAAGTAAATGCATCTTTAAATAAAGTTGACCAATAAAAACTAGATTGCAATACCTTCAATGTTGTCTTCTTTCCCCCAAAATGCCCTCCACAATATAGTTCATGACTATGTTGCAATATACGCTCCTGCTCTTGCTCTGGCATATGATAATCCTAGGATTATACTGTTTTATCTATGCTTTTGGCTGGATTTTGGATACTTCTTCTTAAATTTGTGCCTGAATTGCAACTTAATTTCATATATTTTACATTTCAGGCCAAAATATGCAGTTGGTTCAAAACTGAGCAGAATTGAGTTTCTGGACCCAAAATCAAGCGAATTTTAGAAATTGGGAAAATTCTGATTTGAATTGGAAGCACTATGAAGCTTGTTCCTATTGGGGATCACTAAGATTGAAGATTCAAGAAAAGAAGCAAACGGAGGGCAGTTTCATAATTTCAGAAAAGTTCAGAAAAGTTTGCCACAGCGAAGTTTATTCTTGGCTGCGGTAAGAAAGTCTCGGGTCAGATAGTTCAATAAAATCCAACTTAATACTGCGGTGAAGTTTATTCTTCACCACGACGAAAGCTGCAAATTTTTAGTTTATTAAAATCGTACGTTTTAATTGTATTGGAGGAGTCTTAGGGTTTTAGGTCGACTATTTAATGAGGACTTGTTTATTTTCGAAGGGGTTCGACATTGTTTGGAGGAAAAGGAGAGAAATTGAAGATTGGAGGCCTTTGGGTTCATCAAATAAGGAAGATTTTATTCTTTTTCCATTTTCCCAGGATGTTGAACTCTGTTTTATAGTTTTTCTTAGCATTTGCTTTATTTTTAGAATGAACTAACTCACTTTTGGGTTAGGGTTTTGATGTAATTGGGATTTTAATGTCTAATCTATAAATTTATATTGCTTTCATATTCTATTGCTTGGATTATGTATTTATTCTTGTTTTGATTGCAATTTAATTGTAGAGCATGATGAGACTGAGAAGTGATTCATGTATTAGCTTCTTAGAGTAAATACCATTGATTGATTGAATGCTAGAATAGGTTCGGAGATCCATGAAATCAATTTAGGATTCCACTTAGCTTAATGGACTTGGAACCATTAACCTTCAAATTGTAGGGTGTGGAAGCTTAGTAGGGATAAGTAGAAGAATATAGCCTGAGAAGGTATATTCCGCAAATTAGGGTGTCCGATTTATAATCCTTGCATGTGAACTTAGAAGCAACAGAAATCGTAGACTAAACTAGAAGATCCTAGTGAAGTCAAAACCCTAACCGCTTTGTCTTGAATTGATATTTTCTTGAATTGATTTTGCCTTCATTAGTTAGATTTTAAATTATGTTGTTGATTTTGTTTCAACTTCAGCTTAATTGTCTCCTGCAAATCCAACCATTTTTCATTTACTCCAACTTGATGCTAATTAGGAAAATTAGTACTTGACACGCAATCCTTGTGGGAACGATACTTTACTCATCATTGTATTACTTGTTGCGACTAGTGCACTTGGTACACATTGCATGTTGTAAAAACACGCACCAAGTTTTTGGCACCGTTGCCAGGGATTGATTTTGTGTTAATATTGAATTTTTCTAGTTTTAGCTAGATTGGAGTTTAATTTTAGTTTTAATTATTTTCTAATTTAATTTTGCTACTTCTTTTCTGTTCGTTTGTGATCTCACGCTCTCTTTGTTGTCTGTATAGTTTATGCGAAGAGCTTGACGTCATCCAGTGGTTCCTATTGATCTAAAGATTAAAAGAACCACAAGAAGACTTAACAAAGAGAGAAGATAACAAGAGGCGATGGTCATTGAGATGGCTGAAAACAGAACATTAAGGGAATTCTTAGTGCCCTCAGTTGATGGTAGTGGTCCAAGTATAACTAGGCCACCGGTGCAAGCCAACAACTTTGAAATAAAGTCGGCAATCATCCAAATGATCCAACAGTCAATACAATTTAAGGGAGATCCAAAGGAAAACCCAAATTCACACATTGCGAACTTCTTAGAGATTTGCAACACATTCAAGGCAAATGGAGTGTCGGATGATGCCATCAGGTTAAGACTGTTTCCATTCTTGTTAAGAGATAAAGCAAAGGGATGGTTAATGGCACTACCAGCAGGAAAAATCACCACCTGGAATGAATTGACACAAAAGTTCCTGACTAAATATTTCCCACCAGCGAAATCTGCAAGGATGAGAAATGACATCACATCATTTCTGCAAGAAGAGAATGAGTCACTTTATAAAGCTTGGGAAAGATATAAGGAACTACTGAGAAAGTGTCCACACCATCATTTGCCAGTTTGGATGCAAGTCCAAACGTTCTATAATGGGTTGATGATAAATGTACAAACAATGGTGGATGCAGCATCTGGAGGAGCATTGTAAAACAAGACACCTAAAGAAGCTTGTGAGTTACTTGAATGTAATAGCTTCCTTCTACTACCATACTTAGAAAATATAGTATGAAAAACATACATGCTTATTACTAGAAAAGTATATGGGCCCAAAAATTTTCTTTTTACTTAATATCTTATTCTTTACAAATACAAAATTACATGTACAAAACTTTAGCAACGGTGGACAGTAATGCCATTTCTTTCCGCGTCTCGACGTCCATCCGATCGCTTCTCACCTATTTTCTGCAAAACATGGAAAAATAACGGGGTGAGCAAAAAATGCTCAGTAAGTAAATCCTCTACTCCTTTATCCCCGCAACTTATTCTTTGGTTCTTTCCTTACTCTATTCTTTCTCTTCTTTATTCTCTCTTTATTCTTTCTCTTTTCTTTCACTGTTTCTAGCTCTCACTGCTCCTTTCTTTCTTTCTAATTCTCTCTATTCTTTCTTTCTTTCTATTCTTTCTTTCTTATTCTCACTAACCATGATGAAAATCATGGTACATGCATGAATGAAATGCAAATGCAGTAATGCATAGAAATGCATTTTCTTTTCTTCTTTTCTATTTCTTATTTTCTTTTCTTTTCTTTTCTTCTATTCTTTTCTTTCTTTCTTTCTATTTCTTTTCTTGCTTGCTCAAGCTCTTCTTTTCTTTTCTTTCTTTTCTTCTCTTTTCTTGCTTATTCAAGCTTTCTCATTCTTTCTCATTCTTACTTTTCTCTTTTCTTATTCTTTCTCATTCTTTTTTATTCTTACTCTTCTCTTTTCTTATTCTTTCTTATTCTTATTCTTTCTCATTTTTTCTTATTCTTTGCTGATCAAACTCGGTATGTATGGATTTGGAACCCTAGCCGTGTGAGTGAGTATAGTCCTCATCTACAGGCACTCTTGCGGACTATACAAATTATTTCTTCTTCTTGGGCCACTCAATTAAGGTGGTGTGCATGTAGGAAATTCTTCTTGGTACAACCCTTATCCACATACACTCTTACGAGCTGTACAAATGTTTCTTCTTCTTATGCTGCTCATTTAAGGCAGCGTGTATGTGGGAATTTCTTCTTCTTGTCACCATCACAACAACCTATTCTTTTCTCTTCTTTAGCACTTTTCTTTCTTTAATTCTTTAATACTTTTCTTTCTTTCTCTTTATTCTTAAAATTCTTCAGTCTTTCTTTAAGGTCGTATGCATATGAAAATATATGCATGTGGATGGTTCATGCTTATGTTTCTTTCTTAAGTGCAATTATGCAATGCAAATATGCTATGTTGCATAAAATTAAGTTTCTCTACTTATGCACATGCTTCTCTTAGGCATTTCATCAAACAATAAGCATGCATACATAATTTCTATCTTTAGTAAATCTATACTTCTTTCTTAAACCATCCATAAGTGGAGTAAAACTCCTTTGAATCAACACAAATCCTGGCCAGGAAAAAACACTTCAAATATTCTACTCAAATTCTTTCTAAATGCAACCGAACTTCACTTGGTCACCACAACATCAATTCCATTT